AGACCCATATAACATCTTTTGTGTGTGTGTGGTGGGTCTTTTTTGAGACAGGATTTTGTTGTGCAGTTCAGGCTGGCCTTGAACTCACTTTGCAGCCCAGGCTGTCCTTGAACTCATGGTGATCCTCCTGCCTCAGCCTCCTGAGTACTGGGATTACAGGAGTGTACCAACACACCTGGGGCCTTGCATAGCATCCTCTTCATGATTTCTCTTGGTTATTTTGTACTTTTTCATACAAAAACATAGACTTAGAGAGCTGTGAAACATACTCTACAGCTGTTTGTATTTGTGCCATATATAGGGTAAGGCAAATTGATTGTAATCTTTAAATTACTTGAGTTTGCAATTATAGTTACATCCTCATTCAATAAAAAGTAATCCTGTTTCCTGTGAATCACTAATGTAGTAACATTTGTTTTAATGAAATGGGCTGAAGCAGTAGTATTAGTACTGGGATGATTCTTTTAATGCTGATTGCTTTGTTTTGTTTTGTTTTTTCTGGTTCCAGGGATTGAACTCAGGACCTTACACTTGTGAAGCAGGCACAGTGCCACTGGGCTAAATCCTTTTAATGCTGATTTTATTTATTTATTTATTTAGGTACGGGGGATCGAACTCGGGTCCTCAGCTTGCGAGGCAGGCGCCAGAACCACTGAGCTAAATCCCCGGCCCTTAATGCTGATTTTAGAAGACCAGATAGCTATCTGAATGCAGATTTTTAGAGTGAATTGTCCTCTATTATTTATAATGAGCATATTCATTGTTGCTATGCTGTGTGCTAACATGTATATATATTAGCAATATGAATAAATGAAGCAAAGAAACATGATATATTCATTTTGAGAGCTGAATCTTGTAGATTAGAGCAGTGTGAAGAAGAAAAAGAAGAAAATTTGAATATAAACCTAACATTTCTGATGCAGTGATTATTTTCCCTTTGGGCCGATAGATCTTTTTATTACTGCATATTTGGAATATGTAATGATTATTTTCATCCTGGGGGAGTTGTTATATACACATAACACTAGACTAAGATGTCTGGGTTCTCTTTTGGCATATATACCAGATTCTAATCCTTACCTATTTCCCTTTCTATTTAACTTAGTTTAGATATTTAAAGTAGCAACATAACAGCTAAATGGCTACATTATGGTTTATTTACAGTTATGGCTTATTTGGTTTTTGTGTTGTGGGTTAGGGGTCTTCGAACAAAATTATATTGTGCAGATTAGTATTTTTGAAATCCTTGATGTAAATCAGATTACAGTATTTTTTTTTTTTTTGGTACCAGGATCGAACTGCGGTCCTTGCGCTTTGCAAGGCAGGTGGGCGAACCACTGAGCTAAATCCCCGGCCCCAGATTATTGTATTTGAGAAATTCATTATCTTTGATTTTTGCATTTTCTTTTATAGATCTTCCCGAATCTTAATGGGTCCATCAGAAATAGTCAAAGAAACAACTAATTCAGATTGTATCTTTGAATATAATACTTTTTTTTTTCTGGTACTAGAATTTAAACCCTGGTATGTGCTAGGCAAGCCCTATACCACTCAGCTCTATCCCCAGTTAGAGAGTATCTTTGTTTGAAGCTGATATCCTTGTGTCATAATCATTCAAACATAAACATCTGTATTTAGCCACATGTAAACTATAGAATAAGTTTTAGGAGCCATATTTAAGTTTCTATCAGTCCTTTGTATACTAGATAAAAAAATAATTTGCTTTCAGAGAACAGTGAACAAACACACGTTATTTTGTAAATAATTTAGAGAAGTTAGAATAAGGGAATACTGTAGTATATACCAACTTTGTTAGAAATTTTAATTTGCATTTAAATGAAGCAAATTCAAGTTTTTTCTTATTTTCCTGATTTTCAAGGAACCAGAAATGTACAATATCTTTTGAATACAGTTAACCGTTAGTTGTCAAATATTCAAATAGATCACCAAGATGTTCTACCTTATCATTATTCCTGACTTTTCTTGCACTTAGCAAGAAAAAAAGACAAGGGAAATTTTTGCTTTGTTTTGGTAGTGCTGGGGATCAAACCCAGGGCTTTGCACATGAGAGGCAAGATGTTTTAAGAGATCACTAAGACCTTATAATAAATCCTAGATTTATAAAAGGTGGTAGTGCAGTTGTGACGAGCCCATGGCACATGTGCCACAGCAGGCTGTTTCTATCATTGAAAGCTCTAAAATGTTTGTCCTACTAGATATAGATGGCAATTGCTAGACAATAAGATTTGTTTTCTAGAGTGAGTTTTCTCTGATTGCTGGAAGGCCATTAAGAAGGAATAAAAATTTATGACACATTCATCCTTAAAATATTTAGAACTACTCAAAAAAGAAACTCAGAATGTAAAATTTGGTCCACTGCATCTTTTTGTGTATAGTGTATTAAGTGTTCTGTGGCTCTTTATTGATTTATACATCTAACAGCTATTATCTACTTTGTTCAATATTCTGTGCACTTACAGTATTTTTTAATATGTAGGGTAAAGATAATTATCTCTTTAAAAAATTTAAAAAAAAATTTTTTGTTTTTGGTACCAGGGATCGAATTGGGACCTTGTGCTTGTGAGGCAGGTGGCGAAAAATTTTTATTGATACATGCTTCCAGTACATAGTAGTTACATTCATTGTAGGGAGTTGTTTGATGTGTGTAAATGAGTCTTATGTTGAACTTGTATTATGATCTAAATATTTATTTTTTCTGAGATTCTTTTTAAAGATGTTTGATTTCATTTAAAAAGTTTTAAACTTTTATTTATTTATTTTGTTTTTGCAGTGCTAGGGCCTTGCATATACTAGGCAAGCCCTCTACTCCTAAGATATATCCCCTAGGTCCTGTGCTCACCCATTTAATTTTAGAATTTCATTTGTGAAAGACAGAAAATACATGAAACCTTGGAGTCTCAGTTATTTTATGTTATTTTAGGTAAATCTTACCTAATAGATCACCTATGTAGTAATTTGCTTAAAATTTTTTATATTTGTAGTGGCATTGAAAATTTGGAAAGCCATGTACTGTGTCAGTTTTGAAATATGATTGTCAAGTATGTCTAACTTTATTAAAAATATCCACATTCAGGGCTGGGCATTTAGCTCAGTGGTTTCGCCACCTGCTGTGCAAGTGCAAGGACCCAAGTTCGATCCCTAGTACCAAAAAAAAAAAAAAATCCACATTCATTCTTAACTAGTTGCAGAAGAGACATTCTAGAAAAAATAGATTGAAGACATAAAAAGGATTTGTTTTGTAGAACTGCAAAAATTGTAATTTTACAACAGTGCATTTATCCTAAACTCATCTAAAATAAAATACATGACCTTTAGTAGATGTAAGCAAACAAATAAGTATTACCTTGCTTCTTCCTTCTTTCCTTCCTCCCTCTCTCCCTCCCTCCGTCCTTCCTTCCTTTTCTCCCTCCTTTCTTCCTTCCCTCTTTGGTTCCTTCTTTGCTTCCTTGCTGCCTTCCTTCTTTGTATCTGTCTGTCCTAGGGATCAAATCCAGGACCTAATACATGCTAGGTGATCTTTCTACCACTGAGCTATACTGTCAGTCCCTCTAGCTGATATATGAATCTTGCTTAGAGGTACTTTTTTTTGAGGGAAATTAGATATTTTCAAATTTGATAGCTCTTTAATTCAAAAGTAACCAATACATTATACAGAGGAAACAGGGCACCATATATATATCTTTCTGCCCTTGTTGGGGTTATTATTTAATTCTGATAAATTAAGTCAGCTAAGTTTAGATTCTTTAACACAATGAGTTTAAAAATTGTTTGTCAGGCCGAGGATGTAGCTCAGTGGTGCAGTGCCTGCCTGGCAAGCATGAGCCCCTGAGTTTGATTGCTGGTACCAAAAAAGAAAAAGAAAAAAAATTATTGTCCATTGAAATCTGTAAGGTTTGTGTTTTTCATATTTGTTTATAGTTAATTGATGTGGTTTGCTGTGAGTAATAGCTGTATTAGGAAACATTCTTTTTATTTAGAAAGTCTAAAGCTATTTTTTAATTAATATTTATTTATTTTTTTTTTATGGTACTGGGGATTGAACCCAAGGCCTTTCACACTACATCCTCAACACTTTTTCATTTCAGGACAGAGTATTGCTATGTTGCCCAATCTGGGCTTGAAATTGTAATGCTACTCCCGCTTCAACCTCCCAGAGTCCTGGGATTACATACATATGCTACCATGCCTGTCTTATTATCCTGTTTTTTTTTCTTTTTTTGGTACCGGGGATCAAACTTGGGACCTTCTGCTTATGAGGCAGGTAGTGGAACCACTGAGCTAAATCCCTGGGCCCCTTATTATTCTTTTTTAAAAAATGAGTTAGCTATCAAAAGAATGTTCAATGTTTGGGGAAATGTTGACATTTAATATTCTGTTAGAAAAGCAGGTTATAGTGCAAGTTGTAAAGGATATTTCACACCTATATTTAGACATTTATGCATAAAGGACAGGAAACTAATATTTTATAATGTTAATATGATTAACCAAAGAATAGGTGATTTGCATGCTTTCTTTTTTCCCCTTAACATTGGAGATTAAACTCAAAATCTCATACATGCTAGGCAAGTTAATTAGTTAACTTAATTCTTAGAATTTTCTAAAATCCTAAGTTGTTTTAAAAATAAAAAAATGTATTTAAATAACTGAAAATAGTTGCCTACCTACTCTGAATACTGGGATGATAATTTGATATTACAGTATTATAACAGTTCATGAAGAATGCCAGCCTGTAATCCTATTGTGTATATTGACGTTTCTGTGGGAAATTATTGGTTAGAAGAAAACCAGCTGATGCCTAGAAAGTGTATTGTATTACTCTAGGAGTTGAATGATACAAAATGTTTAGTTGCTATTAAAGTCCATGACATTTGATGTTAAAACATATGCTTAAAATCTGTTTTGGAGTTGTAGTTTTTATTACTTTATGTACTATCTCATATTTTTTTTTCTCATTTAAAATAATACTCTTTTATTTTTAGGCATTATCCAATTGGTTTACTATTTGATCTTCTTGCATCAAGTTCAGCTCTTCCGTGGAACATCATAGTACATTTTAAGGTATGGTTTACCACTTTCTGTGTATCCTACGTGTGATATATAACAGAGTAGAAATTTTTTTTAAAGTAAAATTATTCATTGCCATTCTCATGACACTCTCAGTTGCTAAGCTTCCATTAGTGTTTACTTAACAAAATATTTTTTGATTTCTTCCTGAATTTTGGCTGAACCATTTAAACTTTTGGTTTTAATGGTGTGAAGATAAAACTATTTCAGATACATTTAGGGTTAGGGTTTTTATTTTTAGAGCCAAATATACTATATTGAAAACTGATAATTGTTTTGAAAATTTATGTGAATTTAAAAAATTCAAATAGAAAGAACAAAATTCCTGGATATAGATGTGGATATGGAGTGGAAGGTGAGACATACTATTGAGTAATTCTAAGGCTATATTGATTGCAGGAAGAGAAAGTTAAGATGGAAGTCCAAAAGTTTGCTGTATCTTTGTCTTGAGAAATGTTTATTTCTGTAGTTTCTAATACCAGGCTAAATATAATGTGATATAATTTTAACTCAGTATGTAATAAAGTGCTGGATCCTCTTTTCTTCATCCACCTTGCTTCTGTTCCACCACGCTTATCTCCCCCTACCCCCACACCTTTCACAAACACCTTTGAAGAATTAGAAAGCTTCTCTTAGTTGATCACTGGCAGTGATTCTCAGATGCTAATCGGCAGCTGGAGGGAGGCATGAGAGTTTGAAAAAGTCATTTAGATACCTGTTTGATTTCCTGTATGTGTACCCATTCAAAGCTATTGCTTAAGGGAACCTCATCCATTTTTCCAATTGCCTTTTTTTCCAGCTTTACTGTAATTGAGACTGTGGACCATTGAAACTTATTATTTCCCTGTACATGTGCACTAATTTGCTTTGGACAGTACTATGTTATTACAGATTATAGTTACCATGGAGCCTTTCAGATCTAGCACTTGACTCTGTATGAATTTGAATTACCATGGTGTATACAGAACAAGGGCTGCATGTATATACAATTTTAGTTCAGATGATGTGAAGATAAAACTACTTTAGATACGTTAAAGGGTAGAGGTTCTATATTGCCTATCCTGTCTTTCCTGTTAGTGTTGGAAAATGAGAAAATATCTACAGTATTTAGATGGTTGATTTTTGAGGGTGTGAGAAATGTACTCTAAAAAACTCTGAAACCGATGTTAAAGTAAACCACAACTGGCCACTAATTAAGTTAGCAGATGTGGAGGCTCAGGCGTATGCCAACAAGCACTGTTCTTTTTAAGAGCTTTTGTGAGTGACCAACACAAGACTTTCACACACTCAGATTTTAAAGGGTGCATAGTTGACACTAAGTCCTGTAATTACGGGTTGAATGAGTCAGTGGATTGTAACAATGATGTTAAAAGGCTAAGGATTACTTCTGTCAGAATAGCGCAGTGAGCCTCAAAGGACTTGGGCAAGGGATCTGTTAGCTCAAATCTGTTTCCATAATGATATTAAGAAGATATGTATCCATTGTATTAATATTTGCACTGATGTTCAGAAGCAGTGGTGGTTAAAACTGCTATAGACCTTAGCGCAAAGCAAAACTGTTCACCAGAGTCCTGGTGGTCATTGTATTCTTCATATCCATATACTTGAAGTATAAAGAATACTGGTTCCTTTACAACTATTCTGGGTGAAGCAGTACAATTGTTTTTTCCTTTTGGTGGAGACTGAACCCAGGGCCTTGCACGTGCTATACAAGTGCTCTAACACAGGTAATTCCGCAACTCTAAATTATTAATTATTATTGATCTTTTTTTTCTTGTGGTAGTGGGGATTAAACCTAGGGATGCTCTACTACTGAAGTATATCCCCAGCTCTATTTTTAAAATTTATTTTCAGACAGGGTTTTGCTAAATTGCCCAAACTAGCCACAGACTTGCTGTTTTCTTTCCTCAGCCTCCCAAGTGGCTGGGATTACAGGCATGTGCCCCCACACCAGTCTTAATTATTATAATCTTTTTTCTTTTTTTTTTGGTACTGGGGATCAAGCTCAGGACCTTGCACTTTGAGATGGCCGGTGGAGCCACTAAGCTAAATCCCCAGCTTCATTATTATAATCTTGACCCTGCAATCCACATCTTTGTAGTATCTTATGTAATAAAATATGAAGTTCACATAATGAACTTGTATTGCATTCCAGGTATGGATGTCTTTAGGAAATATACTAGTGCCATTCATTGTTTGATTTTCCACCTGAATACCATTATTTTACTGAAAGAATGGCTGAGACAAACTTTGGCTGTTCAGACTTTTCTTTAAAAGACATTTATTCAATGTCATGATTATACATTTAGCAATCAACAGCACGAGTGCAAAGGTCTGCATTAAAACCCTTTGTTGGATTGCTTTATGCTTTCCACAGAACAGAAACAAAACAACTTGCTATACAATTAATCACAAACATAATTCTCTAGGTTTTTTCCCCATATATATGAGTATTGTCTAAAACATTTCTTCTTTGCAGCAGCTAGTCCCTGCCACCACTGTGTATGGCTAACTTCACAAATCTGTGGTAACCTCTAGCTTCCCTGTTATTTCTCTGGCTGTGCTCGCCTACTAAACCTTGTTTCATGGCAGTAACTAAAACCTTCCACTGCCATAACTACTGCTGCCACTAGAACTGCCATAGCCACCTTGATTCTGTGGGTTGGTAAATTAATAGCCTCCACCACCACAGGGGTCAGAGCTTCTGCCTTCAAAGTTTCATTCCTTCATGGGTCCAAAATTTGAAGATTGCTGTAACTGCCAAACTCATTTTTAGCTTCCATCACCTCTAAATTGCTTTGATTGTTACCAAATGCATTGTAGCCATCTCTCTTGCTACCATATCCACCACCACCACAGCTTCCACCAAAGCTACCTTGACCACTGAAGTTTTCTCTATGACCAAAAATTGTCTTGGCCACCAAAACCATCTCCATGACTACCAAACAAAATTTCTAGAACTTCTTTGTTACATGAAGCAGTAGCCATCTCTTGCTTCAACAGAATGGGCTTTCCTTGCTTTACTGTAGTGGCCATTTGCAGTATGGTATTTCTGAATGATATTTATGTCCATAGAGTCATAACATTTTGCAAAAACACAGCTCTTCTTCTTTCCACTGCCTCGTCAGTTACAGTTTCAGTCACTTCAGTTGTCCCATACAGTTCTTTTTTGGGGGGGGTACTGGGGATCGAACTCAGGACCTTGTGCTCCCATACAGTTCTTGTAGGTGATGTTCCTTAGTGCCTTCTTTAATGCCACCAACAAAGATCTTTTTCACAGTTACATGAACACCTGGTTTTAGAGAATATTCTCTTAATCAGCTATCTTTGGTTTCTCAACTCTTCCATTCACCCTGTGTCATCTTGCATGCATTGCTGCATCTACTAACTCCACAGAGACATATGTGACAAGCCCTAAGCCCTTGGAGTATTTGGTGTTTGGATCTCTCCATGAGCATTCCCTGCTGCTCAGCATAGTTTCTCAAATGCATCAATTGTTTCAAAGCTCAGTCCTTTAATAAAGAGCTTCAGCAGCCCGGCAATCTCTTTAGGAGACTCTGATTTAGACACGATGGCAATGGGAAGAGGGACTAATGATGCTTCCTTGGCAGCGTCTAGGAGCAGAAAGGAGTAAGCTAACAAATGTATGACAGACATTTTCTTGACAGTGAAGTGTATGTCTCACTACACAAAAAGCAACTGATAATATTTGTTGCCAGAGATAAAATTTGAACGTTTTAGTGAAAACTAAAATTTTGAAAAACACATATGTGCCACTATTAGTATGACAGTTCTATTATTCTAAGTGTTTTCTGACGATGACATTGATTTTTTAGTACTCAGTTTTTAAACATTTTCATAAAGTGAATTGTGTCAACATTTGGAGAACTATATAATTCAGTGAACATTTTCCATGTGACCAATGCATGATCTTCCAAAATCATGCCTTGTCCAAAAGACTCGTTCAGACTGCACGCTTAGACTAAAGGATTTTAATGTAACAGTATAAAATGTTCACTGGTATTATTTCAAATCTCATGTTGGTATCCAGAAAATATTTGTTGAATCAGGTATAGCATTGAAGAATATCCATAAATATGAAAAGACAATTAAATGACTGCTTTTTTTAAAGTTGTATTTTTTGGGGGTTTTTGGAGACAAGGTCTCACCATACAGTTCAGGCTGGCCTTGAACTCACAGCAATCTTCATGTGTCAGCCTCCCAAGTGCTAAGATTACAGGCATGAACTACCATGCCCAGCTGCTTTTTCCAGTTATATATTTTTATGAAACTGAATTTTTTTTACTTCAGCCAAAAAAATACAGAGCTTTGTATGAGAGGCAAATAAGATAGTCTTTTACAACAATATAAAAGATAGTAGCAAAAATGTAAAATAATGCCAGTCCCTCCCTATAACTCATACAAAGCTACATTACTAGCCCTCCCCCTTTTTTTGTTTGTTTGTTTTGGTACCAGGGATTGAACTCGGGTCCTTGTGCTTGCAAGGTGATACAACTTGTTTCCCTTTTTTTTGGTACGGGGGATCGAACTCGGGACCTTGAGCTTGAGAGGCAGACGGTGGAACCACTGAGCTAAATCCCGGCCCTGTAAAAAGACTGTTGGGTTTTTTTATTGTTGTTTGTTTGCTTTTTTGTTTTGTTGGTACCAGGGATTGAACTTAGGACCTTGCGCTTGCGAGGCAGGCAGCGGAACCACTGAGCTAAATCCCCAGTCCTACTAGCCCTTTTTAAATTTGTTTTTATTTTGAGATAGAGTCTCACTAAGTTGTTGAGTTTCCCCAGAGTGGGCTCAAACTTGTGATCCTCCTGCCTCAGCCTCCCAGAGTGCTGGGATTGATTATAACTGTGTGCTACAACACCCAGCTCATCACCCCGTTTTTTGTTGCCATTTCTTTTGTTGTGGAAAACAGTTATTTTTCATGAAGATGAGATTTTTCTTTAACATTTAATGGATTTATTTATTTGACAAGATCT